CTTTGAGGTCTAAAATAAGCTTTCTCCTTTTCGCAATTGCCAAAGTTTTGGAGCGCTTTCTCTGATTCTCGATCTTCAAGCTCAGCGCCTTGGAAACTTCTTGCGCCTTGTCCAATAGGGATTGTGGAAAGGGGAGGAGCCGGGCAAGGAAAAGACCGTAGTGTTTGTCCTTCACGAAACCGTCCGCTATTTTGTACAGCATTGTCATTTTTGAAGTCGAGGGCGACATTTCAACTGCAAGGTGTAGATTGACAACGCCATTCCGGTCCGCCATAATCTTGGAGAGGTCATGGAAGTGCGTTGTGAACCAAACTAGAGCGTGGCTTTCGACAAGAGCTTCGGCAATGGCAATGGCAATGGCGAGTCCGTCAGCAGTGCTGGTACCGCGACCTAGCTCATCGATGATTACCATACTTTTAGGCTCGATGTTGCGAAGAATGAAAGACATTTCACGCATTTCAGCAGAAAATGTAGAGACGTTGGCTTCGACATTATCATCCGTTGATACTCGAGCAAAGAGTTGGCGCACAACTGGAAAAGAAGCATACTGTGCAGGGACAAAGCAGCCGATTTGAGCCATAACAGTCATCAAGGCGAGAGATCTAATATATGTGCTTTTCCCGCTCATATTACACCCCGTGATGATCTGGAACCGTGATTGCTGGGTAGCATACGCATCATTAGGCACATACTTGTCAGCGTTAATCCTTTCTCGGATAGGATGCTTTCCAGCCTTGATCGCAAGCGTATCTGTGAGTTCTGGTTGCACGTAGTCCTGCATGGTTACAAGATGCGCGAAGGAAGCCAACATATCTAACATTGCAATGCTTTCGCTAACCCGGAATAAGCCTGCTATTTCAGATCGAATATCCTCAATCAATTCCTGGATACTCCGGTCGCTCATGTTGATCACCTCATTATGGGCGTCGGTGATTTTTTGGTTCAGCTTTACGAGATCTAGAGTTTGAAATTCGATGTAAGTCTTCTTTCTAAAGATATTAATAAAAACATCGGGCAGTTCATTGTTATCCAAACAGGATACCGGTAATCGGAGATAATAGTGTCGTCCGGTTTCAAACCTCAGGTCAAGGGCGAGATCATATTTATCTAAATAGAGTGATTATCATTAGCGTCCGCCAGGACTTAGATTGCTATTTGAAAGATACCTCCTAGTCGAGAAGCTAGCTCCACCACATCATTGTTTGCCTCTTGATATGTCTGTCTTGCAACATCGAGGAGGCTGTTGATTCCAGCCTACATATATTAGAAAGCGTTACTTAAAATGCTTCAAGGGATCCTCACTTTGACAGCATATGTTCGTTGATTTCGTAGGTCTAAAGGCCGAGACCGGTATGTAACGTCTTCGTTCAGCGTGGAGTTAATCATATCTGCTATAGCAGCATACTCTTGGGGCCCACATAGCTAACTCTTGTTAGTCTTTTACGGTGAGAAAGGGGGAAAAGGGTGACTACGAACGTTGCGAATTGCCAGAAGAAGACTGCTCTGCGCACCAGACAAAGCTTGGTAGATGGGTTTAATCGCGTTGACATAGGTTTTGAGCATAATAACGTTATTTATCGATTGCTCTGCATGCTGAAAAGTCATCCTTGTTGGTATCACTATGAGCTAAATTATAGATTAGTTTCGACAAATTCCAGTTCCTAAGTCACGACAACCTACAGAAGTAAGGACTTTGTCCGAATCAACGAAAGTCTTAAGAGCTAAGAGCGGGACATTAGCGCGGTATATGCATGAGATACTTTGATCACAAACCCTGCCTAACGGAGTAAAACATCTCTTCCTTTGTGCTCAATTCCTCAACCGCATGATATCTAGCCAAAATCTTGGCTGGTTCCGTGGATGGCTGGAGTACATTACTGCGGAGAAGCCTAGATCCCATTGGGGTAAACGTTTCATTGAGAACCCCGAAAAGACAGTCGCGAGACTTGGAGTTTTGACGGTTTTGAATCAGCTCCAGGGAAACAATTGTAGATAGATCAATCAACATGGAACCTTCAGATGGTTCATATTTAATACGAAGAGAATGGCGAGAAAATTGCTTTGACAACTCGGTTTCAATGTAACTGAGTGCCTTGAAGGAGGACATGTTAGTTCAAGCAACGGCGGTCCGCCAAGTTAAACAATCTGAGCATACCGCAGCGAGACAGCATGTAGCAAAATAGCTGCCGTCGAGGGACATCTTGATTGACTCTAGGTCTTCTCTAAATGCAAGCTGCTCGACATATTCATGGCCCGCCCTTTCAGCCCATAGTCGTCGGTCAATAAACGTTACAGTTAGAAGGGGTAGGTTCTCTTCCACGATCGAATAGAGCTTCGAACGAGGTTCCCTTGCAGTTTTCATAAAAAGGATTTCTGTCGGATCAAACACAGCTAGTTTGTGAATAGTTCGGGCATAGGTTTGACTGTCACATATCTGACAAAGCACGGCCTCTGACGTGGAGAGATTGACAAAAGCTAGGCCAACAGTAGGGGATATCCCACGAGACTCGCTGATGGCACAAATAATCTCCTGGAAGGCGATACTTGTCCCCGCAGTTGTTGGCCTCGTTGTCCTAGGGTATCCAGAGTTTGACATAGCTGTGGTAGGCCGTCCATTATTGCTGTAACAGAAGGACGAAGCATTCGTCGAGAAGCACGTTGAAGGCATCCTCGACGAATGAATTACGCTAGACAGTGTTACTGAATATGTGCATCCACGGGATCATAGCCGAATGCAGTAAAATATGCTGCCCGGACACTGCAAGTCAATGCCTGCTGATATACGAAGAAGCCATCTCGACGTTGTTGAGTTGATGTCCTTTTTAAGTTGATGCCGTCGATGTAGCTGTAAATATGCGCTAAGCCGCTTACCGTTAGTTACCACCAGATGTCGCCAACGGTATGGAGCCCTTAGTCATCTCTAAAAAAATAACTTAGATTCATTTTGGGTACGAAATAATTTGCCGGGCTGCTTGATGTGCACGAGTCTCAACCACGGAATAATAGTGAGAGTAGCAGTGATTCTGGAAATCCAGCACAACATGGCAACAGTGCTGCCTCCTCCTAGCAAGCGCCAGAAACGAGACATTGCAGAGAGGACGCGGTTGCAGCAGGAAATCCAAACCATCCCAACTGACTTGGGCAGCATCCGGGTCCAATTCTTCGACCAGACCACGGGGAAGCCCACTGGCCCGCCCGTATCTGTTCCCATTGCAGATGCGACTGTCAAAAACCTTGAGACGCTTGTAAATACTCTACAGGGGAATGTAGGTACGCTCATAATCTAAATCCGCCAGATTTTGCGATCGGATATATAGAGGTTGCGACATGACGAAAAGACGAGCTAATGAAAAGTCAAAAATGTAGGATGACAATGAAAAAGTTCCCTTCCGGTTTACATATCAACCGGAGGAAGGACATGGAGATGTCGTTGATATCCTATCAGATCTTTATCATTCACTCCTCAAACCGGGACTGAAAACGTCGGAAGATACTGTCCACCTCCAATACACCCCACAAGCAGTTTTCCGTGTAAAAGCTGTATCGCGATGCTCAGCATCGATATCAGGGCATGGAGAGGCTATCCTTGCGACTGCGTTTTCGCCGGCTTCCTCGTCGCGCATGGTCACGGGAAGCGGAGATTCAACAGCGCGGATATGGGACTGTGATACCGGAACTCCTTTGCACACTTTGAAAGGTCACACCAGTTGGGTTCTTGCTGTCAGCTGGTCACCGAATGCACAGATGATAGCGACGGGGAGCATGGATAATACCGTTCGTCTATGGAGTCCAAAAACAGGCGAAGCACTGGGTGGGCCACTCAAGGGCCATACGAAATGGATTATGAGTCTCGCATGGGAACCGTACCATTTGCAAAAGTCCGGGGTTCCCCGGCTGGCATCTGCGTCAAAGGACAGCACTGTACGGATATGGGATGTGATTTCAAAACGCATTGACACTGTGCTCACAGGTCATAAAGGCTCCGTTTCTTGTGTCAGATGGGGCGGTACGGGGCGCATATACACCTCTTCGCATGACAAAACGATCAAGATTTGGAATCCAGAAGATGGCAGTTTGCTACAGACTCTCTCGTCACATTCACACCGCGTAAACTACCTTGCATTATCAACCGATTTTGTTCTCCGAACCTCCTTCTACGAACACAATCAAAAGGAACCCGAGACGGACGAGGCGAAATTTGCAACCGCAAAGCGCCGGTTCGAAGAAGCGGCAACCATCAACAATAAAATCACCGAACGACTTGTCTCTGCCAGTGACGATTTCACCATGTTTCTCTGGGACCCTGTGTCATCGAATAAGCCCGTGGCACGTATGCTGGGGCATCAAAAAGAAGTAAATCATGTCACATTTTCTCCAGATGGAGCGTACATTGCATCTGCAAGTTTTGACAACCACGTCAAATTGTGGAATGCTCGGGATGGAAAGTAGGTCAAAACTTTTAACCTCAACATTTGCCAACAATCCCTCCTGTAACCAAATCTAATACTAGAGGTATATATATATATATGTCTAACCAAATTTAACTAGATTTATATCTTCACTCCGCGGCCATGTGGGTGCTGTATATCAATGCTGCTTTTCAGCAGACTCAAGACTCCTCGTTTCATCGTCCAAGGATACCACGCTGAAAGTCTGGGACGTTCGGACGGGGAAGCTGTCGATGGATTTACCGGGACACTTAGATGAGGTTTATGCGGTTGACTGGAGTCCGGATGGAGAAAAGGTAGGTAGCGGGGGGAGGGATAAGGCAGTTCGCATCTGGAGACATTGATTTAAATTGATATTTGATGATAGGGAGGGAATTAAATTCAGGAAGATGGGAATTCAGAATTGACGCTTTCATTTGATTTTAACGGGAAAAAGGGATATCTATATAGAGGGAAATGAACAGGATGGTTCGAGACTTTCACGCCATTTTACATGAACACATATTTGACAAGACGAACAGTTCCGCTGCGAAGGCGCAACTAACAGCATCCTTAGCCATAACACACCCCTTCAACTCCCACAAGCACCGCAGCTAAAATTATAGCCAGCGCCCACCCCTCAAACACCCCTGACTTCAATCTGGGGACACCACCACTAACTCGAGGCTGAACATTCTCCTCAAAAGACCGCACACCAACGACATTTCCCGGTGGAAAATACTGGCAAACAACATACCAACCATGCGCAGCATCATCGTCTCGGTCACGAAGATTAGCTTTCCCGCAATCAAACCTCTCACACCCCATCGTCTTCGTCCCCTTCCATACAAGTTGTGAGAAATGGCCCGTCTCATGCGTGAAGCGCGGCTTATTAAAGTTGAAAGTCCTCCGCTCGTCGCCCCACGCCTGGACGGTGGCTGTGACGTTGGCGTAGCCCATGGCGAGATTTTCACCCGAGGTCTATGCGTGGTTGGTTTAGTTGAGGGAGGTTTGGTATTGAGATGGATTCGATAACCGGAAATTCAAAAAGATTGAAAGGTAAATTATCGTATACATACGGAATGTTCCCAGCGGCATTTTCGAGCCCAGTTTCGGGAGCTGACTTCTAGAGTCCTATTCCATTTAAGCGCTGTGGCATTGTGTTCGCATCTGAATTTATTGGTGACGGCAACGATAGTGTTGCGGAATTGCGAATCGGAGGTGTAGCAACGGGGTGATGTAAAGGATTGCGCTGCTGTTGGACGAGGAGGAAGAGTAACCGTAGCTGTTAATGTGAGATGGGCAGAGATTGTAAGGAAGTGAAACCAGAGAAAGAGTATGCAGAGTAACTTTGTCATTATTTCATATAGTGGTTTTCAGAAGCATGCGGTTGGAAGGGGTATCGAAGCTGTTTATATGCGTAAATGCTGGATATGACGAAACAAGTGTCTACATGCAATGTAAGGCAATTTGAAACATAACGGGATGCTTTCATATTTGGATGGACATATAGAGTCTCGTAGACTACTATAATGAAAGAGTTAGAATTGAACAATAAAGACGTTTCATTCCCCGTTTATTCACTTGGTAGTGGATGAATGGGGGATCAGCAACAAAACAAAGTACAACACAATCCATATCCGCTTCCATTTGTGAAAATGCTTTAAATAAAGTCATCGCGAAAAGCATAAATAAGTCTCTGTGGTAGCAAGAATCCAACGTCTTTCATCACCATCCAACAGAGCAAAAGGCTTGGCGGCGGCATGATTCCAGAAGTGAGATGTCTTCAGAACTGCTACGTCAGGATCGTCCTCTTAAAGCTGTTGTTGACAGGTCAGGATAAATTCCTGTTTCTCTGGCCTGAAACATGAAGCTTCTACCAGCGCTTCCAACGAAAAGTCAGGTTTTGAAAATGTGCCTTACATAAGCAGTCGAGGTCATCGCGTAAGACCGCATTGGAGAATTGCGGGGAAGAATTTGGAAGATACAACACTGTCAACGGAAGAACAGGAGTAATGTTCAACGGAGTGATCTCCACTGTCTTGCACATTCATGGATAGTTTGGATTAGCTGTTTGGCCGAGTTAAACAGTTCAATCCTTGCCTGGCGACAACGCGACCGGAGTCTAAGCGGCTAAAATGTAGCTTGCCATTGATGGGAACATACGCTGAACAATCGTATTAACTTGTCGATATTTGCGAATAGCGTAGAGACCGCTCCTTCAGTTCACAGTGCTCTATCATAGAGATAGGAAGATAAGATGATAGAGATATCCAACGTTCCATTAATGCAAGCTTTCGGAGAACTTCTGCTTTTCACATAACCAAACATCCAATGCCAAACATTGCCCTTTCTACGCCTTTCTTGACCTGATACCAATCAGCCCGCCTTGTGGCAAATTCATACACTTCCTCAGCGCAAAAGATGCCATGGAAGCGGTCGCTGTCGGCAATGATCGAAGCCATCTCCTTGGAATCAGAAGGATCGATAAGGTACACCTGCGAAAGTTCCCTGAGGGCAACGAAGTATTGAAGAAGCTGATCGTTCTTCATGGTTTTGATGAAGTCGAAGTAGTGGTTCATATCACTATTTGCCAAAGTTAGGATAAATAAGCTAAGAGCAAACATTTGCGGGGAATATTTGATCGAGTTCTGACTCCTTTTCCTTTCTTTTTTGACATATTTATTTGTTGAGACTTACCTTATAAGTTTAATCGCACCCTCTACATTTATACGTTGCATTTTCAGATGCTTGCACAGTGAGGCGAAAAGCCGCAGGCCGATTTCTTGATTAAACACGTCTAGGGTACTCTTATCCGTGCTCCCCACAAGCATCCGTGTGTGCGATGAGACAACATCCACAATAGCTTTTGCTGCCTCGCTTGGTCTGACATCGACAACATTCTGCCCAGACAGATCTGTACTCGGGTTAAAATCAGCCGCGTTTTGCTTCGCCGCCAGAAGGTAGTCGACCTCCTCCATAAGGACATCGATGCCCTTGCTGAGTCCCCCAGCAACCCGTTCATCTAGCATCTGCTCAAATTTCTTCTTCTCTTTCACAGCAGAATCGAGGAAATCTCCTCGATCGGTTAATTTAGTCGCGATCAACTCCTGCTCGTAGAATACGTCCATCATCTGCAGGATAAGGTCGCCGACATTGACTAGCTCAAGAAAAGTAACCAGTGGCTCAACCCCCTTGCTATCATGTTCATTTTTGTGTCGTGGTCGATACTCGGAAAGGTGGTCCACGGCTTTGTCAAAGCCAGCAATGACATGACGGTGACCGAGCTTTTGCAAGAGCGAAACGAAAATTGCCTCGCACTGCAGTTTTGCATTCTGTCCGGCTTTACCACCTAGTTTCACGAACTGTCCCGCGCGCTCCAGACTTGATTTGGCAGTGTGCACCAAATCCAGTGCTACCTCGATACTAAATAGGGAGCGGATACCTTCGAGTCTCGAATTCATGATCGCAACTTTGGCAGCAAGTTCGGTTGTGGGCAGATCATCTAATGGAGTGGGTGGACGGAATGGAATAGACACGGGAGTCGAAAACTTGGGGTTTGGAATATGATCTGGGTCATGTTTGTGCACATCCCTTTCGTTATCCTCCGCCTTTGGCCCGTTGGACATCATGGAGGAGATATTGGGTAGAATATTCACGGGTGCCATAAGGACCTTTTTAAATGAGGTCAAGAAATCTTTCTTATCAGCTTGCCTGTTGACGTTGGACATGTAGAAAGATTCCGTAGAGGCCGCTTGCTCTGAGAGTTGTCTATCCCATTCAGACACGACGACATCACAGTGTTTGCGGAAGTAATTAAGTTCGTCTGTTAGATACTGATCGACACAAGGTTCAAATACCTTTCCTACAATCTGGCCAGCAGCCTCGAAAAATTCGTCACCGGAGTTTTGAATCGGTTGTAACTCTCGAACAAAATGGGATGTCTGTGCGAAAGTTCCGGAGAAAGCTTTGAGATATGACTCAGTGTTCTTAGAACGAAGATCGATGAAAAGAGTGGTAAAATAAGGAGATAATACATCCTTCTCGATCCTCTCAAAAAATAGCGTGGAGATGCTCTCAGGCTTTGAGAAGCACATATTTATAATAGACACTTCCTCGTTGTATGCCACATTGAGACGAGTGAGGAATGCTTGCGAGTGCTCCAACTTAACAGCACCGTTGTCACAGTCGACACAGTCTGAAGGACTTCCAAAATCCGATTTCCGAGAGAACAAATGATTATTTCGAATGAAGTAGTCAATGGCTGCGCCGCCACCATTCAACGTGGTTAGGGCATGACCATATCTCCGCATCAGGCCGTCGATATCTCCATTTTCGTAGCCACTTTTAAACTCCTCTAACGCTGCCGCTTCAAAAAGAGATATGGCACGGAGAAGTTGTCCCTGCCTCTCCTCGCCACCCAGGGATCTATCACTCTTTGCAAACGCGTTCAACTCGGACAGAATTTGGGCTTGGTCTTCAGGGCTGTCGTAAACCTTAAAAACCATGCTATTTATCGATCCTCCCGTTTTACTGATATCCTTGTAGAAAGGGTAAAGAGTCGCGTGGATTTTCCCATACTCCTCCCTTGCTTTTCCCCGTATAGATCGGACACGGGAAAAGACAGATAAAGCCGCGAGAGCATCTGGACGTAGAGAATTATTACTGATTCCCATCCCGGTAGAGAATTCAACATCCTTAAACAAATTAGAAGGATCCGATTTGCCACTGATAGTTCTGTCTCCATTTTTGTCCGCAGCAAGCGATTCACCGGTCTGGGGAGCTTGGAGGTGTATAGCCGGCACACTCATATGTTTACGGAGATAGGGATTAGACTGTTCCGCCTGCTTCCTTGCCTCCAGGTCATTCCAGCAGCCAATCTGCTTGAGTCTCTGTACCCATCTCGAGTCCTCGTAGACCATTTCTCGCAGGAGTTTGGATGCCCTAGCGACTCTGATAAGATCGGACGGAGCTAGGTAATCTAGGATTGAAGATAGTATTTCTGTACACAGTCAACAAGAGCTCGAACCCTGCAAGGCATATACATGTATATTATCTGTACTCACCAGCAGGAAGAGCTGGTTTTGATATCTCCATCTGGGCCAATTTGAGAGACGCAAGAACATCTCTCCGCGGTCTCCCACCCGAGACCTGGGCCTTTGAAAAGCCCGACATCCTGGGCACCATAGTAGTTACAGTCTCAGGCCCACGCCAAAGAACTGAACCGGAGGTCTTGAGGTCAAAGTAACTGGTTGAGGAGAGGAATTCATTCCCGGCTTGCTCTGTTTTTGGGGTCCGTGGGTTAAGTATTCCTCCTCTCTATTAACTACCGAATGTTTGCAGATGGGGCCAGAAGACAATACGGTGGCGAAGACCCCATAGTAAATATCAGCCCAGCCCCCGAGCGATTGCCCTTGAGCCAGAGATAAATAAATATATGGAGAACGAGGGGGTTTCGACCAGCTGGTTTATATTTTTCGATCTCGATGCAAGTAATTAAACTATTCTCCAGTCGGAAACCAGCGCTGTTAAGCTCTCGGCTGCGATGCTATCCACTCCAAGATCCACAGCAATAATCAAGGAAGGTTTTAACGAGTTTCATAAATTCAGCCCCTGATGAACATCATCATCAAAGGTCTGTTTTGCGTCTAAATAATAAATAGGTAAATCGTTCTCTAAATAAACACCCTAGATAATTAACTAAGGAGCAGCATTCATTTCTCTTGAAATTATCTCTACCTGCTGAGCAATAGACATCCCGATCCAGCAACTAACTAATTCATAGAATATCCTTTTCAAATTAGTTCCTAACATGTAGGATTTATATATCATGCAGACATACATACATATACATATATATATACATACACACACACATATATATATACATGCATACTATGACATTCTGGGCTTCGCTGCGGCTGTACTGTTTTCTTTCTGTTTCGCCAGTGGGTACAAATGTCGTCAAGGTACCTTCTAGGTACTCGTTCACACGTTGGGACGTCTTCGCCCCTTTTAAACACCTCACCCTCTCGAACCACTTCTCAGCCAAGAACACTCTCGACACAATAGCTACAAAATCACTTTCTCCAACTCTGTCAATTTGCTTTGCCATTGCTTGCTCATCTGCTCCTACCCTCCAACAGATCTACCTAGCATGCAGCCCCCTGCCAACCGGAAAGAGATAGACACCAGGCCTACTTTGCACATCGAGGCCCGAGTCAAGAATGACGAAGACATCATCATCCGAACGGACATGGTGCGTTTGAATACTTCTGTTGACTGCATCTTATCCTCCGAATTGCTTCTCGACCGTGTAGTCAACTAAAAAAAATAAATCTCATAGATCCGCGATGAAGTGACGAAATGGCTCTTGGAGACGTTCGCCGTGCTAAGCTTGGGACAGGAAATAACCTCCTTCGGTAAGATATTAAAACCGGTGAAATCCGATTAAAGCATTTCACTTTTGCAGCAACCAGACTAACGGAATATACACGTAACCAAACTAATAGCTGACATGGATGCCGGTCACGCACAATACCTGGACGTGATCAAGGTGATGGAATGTGTGGGTCAGCAGCAGGGGAGCGGTGCATATCGGCTAGAAGATGTTGAGCTGAACGTGCAGGCATACCAGCTCCGGGGATCTGATGTTGCCGACGACAATTCTCAGCAGACATATGCTACTGCAAATGGGAAAAGTGATGAAGACGGGCCCCAAGCACGGATTATCAGCCTCCCCAGTAAGGAGCTGGATGGGGTGTGGGAGTCGTATGCCACCCCTGGTTATTGTTATTTGTTATTTGTTATTTTACTTTTACTTTCTTTCCACAACCTGGTGTTAAAGAGATTGTTTAGGCTCCTATTTGATGAGCTGATACCGTCAACTCTACTGCGAGCGGTGAGCAGGATGCGTATGTGGTTTCCCTCATGGACATGATGATGCTGCCCCCTTGCTAATAGAGGAGCAGTTGTGTTTTCTTGGAGTAAACTGAACACCTGGACGATCAATTGGAACAGACTTATCCTGCTCTATGGCCCGCCGGGGACCGGCAAGACCAGTCTTTGGTATGTATATGATGCGTCAAATACCATATAACAACAACAAATATTAACAATAGATCAGCCGTGGGCTAGCACAGAAACTGTCAATCCGCGTGGGCAAACAGTTTGCGCAGAGTAAGATGGTAGAAATCAATGCGCACTCATTAGGGAGTAAATACTTTAGTGAAAGTGGGAAGCTCGTGACCAAAATGTTTGACAATATCGAAAATATGCTGGAGGAGGAACCAGATACATTTACATGTGTGTTCATCGACGAGGTGGAAACATTGACGGCCAAACGAGAGAAGAGCGTACAGGGCAACGAGCCCTTTGACGCAATGAGAGCAGTTAATGCTATTCTGACAGCACTGGATCGGCTCAGACACCGACCCAATGTGGTTGTTCTTTGTACGAGCAACCTTATAACTGCTTTGGTATGTATATACCGTCTCCCCCCTCAATGGAAAAAAAAAAAAAAAAAAAAAAAAAAGGGGGAAATTAAGAGAGAAAGTAAAGAAAAGGAGAAACAGAACAGATGGTATCTGACAATAGGGAAAAAATTCCGTCCATGGCAGGATTCTGCATTTCTCGACCGGGTTGACATAAAGCAGTTCATCCCTCACCCAACCAGCCGGGTCATATACGAGATATACAGGAGCTGCCTGGAGAACCTGAGCGAATGCGGGCTGATTCACGGATCAACCTTTGACGTGATCCGTGTCGAGCAGGACAATCCAGCCACAGAGTTGAAGTATGTCTCGTGCCCAGCAGAGACATTGGTTCTCCCCAGCCATACAGAGTTGGTGTTGTGGTACCAGCTTTTTCCGGAGTCCATTCCCAAGCAGCTGGCAGATGTAGCTGAGGCGAGTGTGGTAAGTGGAAATTTCCCAACAGGATGGGTAGAAATGCTAATTAAATGGATGGAACAGGGGTTGAGTGGTCGTAGTTTGCGCAGACTGCCAGTACTATCACTGGTTCTGCATACAGACCACGCGAGTTGCAGTATTGAGCAAGCCGTGCGGGCGCTGGCTCGGGGGGTGGAGGAGGAGAAAAGGGCAGTGCGGAGGCAGGAGAAAGTTCCTGCAATAATTGATGGTATTTCATAGGTAGCCAGCAGTTAAGTAACCGACAATGACAGCGTCTAGTTTTTATCTCTTCTTTACCGAGTATATATCGCAGCATCCAAGGGGCTAATAATAATAAGGCTGGCTAACTATTGGTTACCTTATCACGTGATACTTCCAGCCAATCAAGTGTCAGCGTTTGTCACTCATTTGTCACCTACTGCCAAGCACCAATCAGCGCGCGTCCAACCAAATTCCTTCAACTTTCTTCCCCTGCAACTTGCTCGAGTTTCTATACAGAACTCCCTCCGCCGCCCCTCTAATCCATCCGAGACAACGCCCCTTCTCCCCCGCTTCTCTCATCCGCAGCCACGCCTTTTCCACTGCCCCTCCACTGCGGCGGGAATTCCACTCTCTGCAAACATGTTCGCCAGATCCGTTGCGCGCAATGTGCCCGCCAAAGCCATCTCCCGTCAGACTTTCCGACAAACAATGGTATGCCCGGTCATCCCCCACAATTCTCCCAAAAACACGTCATTGACTGCCATTGACTGCCCTGCTGTCCCCAGACGGCTATCTATCTCCATTTCGAGGCCTCTTCTCATGTTCCTGATCCCTTCTGCTGATCTATTTACTACTGTAGCGAGACTCTTCCACAACCTCCGGCTCCCGCGTTGAGTCACCCTTCTACCTTACCCTCTCCGCCTCTGCAGCCACTGTCACCGCTGTCGGCGCGGTTGCATGGTACTACCATTTATATGGCCAGGAGGCGTTTGCTATGACACCTGCTGAAGAAGGGTAAGCTGTGTTTTGGAGGAATCAATTGATCATCCTTTTTTTATTTTGTTTTTTTTCGCCCTAGATTCTAACGCAATGTTCATATTGATGCTAACTGGACTTCCCTCACAGGTTACATCCAGCGAAATACCCATGGGAACATACAAAATGGACCAAGACATTTGACCACCAAGCGTAAGTGGCTCCCAAGCCGTCCACGACATCTCAATGTATTGTCACTATATTACAGGCAGCAACTGATGCGGATACCTCCATGTAGCCTCCGCCGCGGTTTCCAGGTATATCGCGAGGTATGCATGGCCTGTCACTCACTCACCCGTGTTCCTTGGCGCGCATTCGTGGGTACTATACACACCGTAGATGAGATGAAAGCCATGGCCGAAGAATACGAGTACGACACCGAACCTAACGACCAGGGCGAGATCGAGAAACGTCCCGGCAAGCTGTCCGACTACATCCCTCCCCCATACAAGAATGAAGAGGCTGCACGTGCCGCGAACAACAGCGCTCTGCCCCCGGATTTGAGTTTGATGGTCAAAGCTCGCCATGGCGGCTGTGACTATATCTTTAGTTTGTTGACTGGGTATCCCGATGAGCCTCCAGCCGGGGCCACCGTTCAGGAGGGATTGAGCTTTAACCCTTACTTCCCCGGAACTGGTAAGAGATTCAATGTCTACATGTAATTATATACGTACTATATACCAACTAACCACAACCAGGCATCGCCATGGCTCGCGTCCTGTTCGATGGCCTCGTCGAATACGAAGATGGCACCCCCGCTACCACGTCACAGATGGCCAAGGATGTAACTGAGTTCCTCAACTGGACCGCTGAGCCGGAGATGGACGAGCGCAAGAAGATGGGCCTGAAAACCCTCGCCATTACCGCCATGCTGACCGCCATCAGCATTTGGATCAAGCGTTACAAGTGGGCACCCATCAAGTCGCGGAAGATTGTCTACACTCCACCCGTTAGCAGGCCTCCTATCACCAAACGTTGAGATTGCTAGGAAATACGTTGTGCTTTGTATACAGTGTAATGTAAGGGAAGGAAGCAGTAGATGGGATGTGAATGTAGTGGATGGATATGCTGATGGAACCCTTTGTACCAAAACAGAATCACCACCCCCCTGGATGCATATAGAAAAGGAAAGTAAAGAAACAATCAGGCAACATACAAAACCACATCAAAAAAATAACTGGAGTAATGTTGTCGTTGTGTTTTTCTCTTTGCTATTATATTTTTGTCGGATTGTTTTAACTACCTTACTTATCTCTAAAAGAAGTTTCTTTCATTCATTGTCTTTATTTCTCTCGTCTCCATACATTTTCTGGCATTATTCCCTCTCTCATCTCTATTTCGATGTGCCACTTCTCTTTTCTCAATAAATCGCACATTTCCTTGCTTTTCCTCAGATGATAGACAATGAGAATACTGTCAAAAAGGAGGGCCTGATGCAGTGGGGATGAAGCAAGCATAATAAGCGGAGTGCGGGGAGCCGGAACTACATGACTGTAAATATATTACCGCATCCATTTTTATGTATATCCGCTGTTATGATTCCTAAATTTCATTCGTCTTATTTCTATATCCAGGTTTACTATTCGGTTTGGGACAGGGAAACGGTGATAATTCGGAGCTTGGAGAGATAGCTTGGGATCTTTAAGATTTCGGACCACGGGGCAAGGAAAACGTACAGCACACAATGGAGTATGTAGTTATCATAAAAGGGAATATATGTGTGATAGAAAATCAGCGTTATTTCCAGAATCTAACTGTATCAATGGGGTATATCTATGTTGTACACCAGCGAGGAAAGGGAAGGATATATCATTCAAACCAACCCCCCCCCCCCCCCCCCCCCCCCCCCCCGTTTTGTTGATGCAAGGAAGGCAAGAATGTTGTATACAATTAAAGAAAACAAAAACAACAACAACACAACACCAATTACAACATTCAACGACACAAATACTACTCCCCTACCCAAACACCGGTCTCGCCAGAAAATCATACCACCACCATATTGCCACAAACAGCCACCTCTGCAACGCTGAGGCCCACCAGGGCATCCTCCCACGCCTATCCGCCACAACAGTCGCTATCATAAACGACAGCAAAAGCGGCGGTCCCCACATCATCATCGTGACGAACTTGCCGATACGCTGGCGGGTGGTTGTGATTCTATACGCGGTGATGGAGGAGAGATACGCGCGGTATTCGATGGGGAGGTTGTGTTCACGCGCGCCGGTGACAAGGAGGTTTTTGTAGCGCGGGGAGGGTTGGGCGGGGTTGTCTGGGGGGTGTGAGCGCGTGAAATGGGAATGGGCTTGAGATATCCGTTTGGCGACGGATGTAGCCGTGGATAATTTTGCAGCTATCTCATCTTTGGCAGAAGGGGAGAGAAGGGTGTGTGCCTTGAAAGGCTTTGAGAGCTTATCAGGATAGCTAGGGACTGGGTCAGTGGGCTTGTAAGATTTGGGAAACGCATAGCAGTCGACGGCGATGTCGATGTAAGAGGAGCCTCCGCCCTCTGTGGCGATGATGTGCGCGTAGTCGGATAGAGTAACCTCGTAGACAATACCGACGAGGGGTTTGTGCCATGCTTGAGTTTGATGCGTTTCTGGAGGCTGGGGAAGGTCTGATTCCAATATGGAGGGTTTGGGACTACGGAATTTTGTTGCTGCCATACAAGGCTCTATGTAAGGCAATCCTAATAGGTCGAAAGTGAGACTGAGGTCTGGGACGTATACGTTCAGTTGGGAGATGGGCACGATGCCACGCGATTTGCGGAAGGTTTGGACGCTCATGTTCGAGCCGTAAGCAAGATATAGTACGGTCTCTTCAGGCTTGTCTATACCCTCATAACCATTCTGAGGTTTCTCAGTGTGTTGCAGTTTTGATTTTGTGCCATGTTCTTTGAAGAGGATGTCAATGTCCAATGCGTGGTCATGCGCAGCTTCTCGCAACCGTTCATCCGAGGTTTGCGGGATGCTGAGAGATGGATCAAACGTCTTTCGGCTTCGTCGGATGAAGAGCGATACAAATCGACTTTTATTTTCAGTTTCCAGGTCGGGGTCAGCATCTGGCTTGTGGAGAAGCTCTACCTGTTCGCTGCTTATCTCAGTGACATTCACCATGTTGATGTGCTTGGTCTGTTAACGGGAAGCGGAAAATGGACGGCTAGAAAATGAAACTTTGGCCTTTTCCAAGTTGTTAGCTGCTTATTTATATATATTTATGTGAAAGCTATAGGCACAATTGGTCAATAACTAGTGGATGCGATGCATCTAAATATGGATGCAACCAACTTTACAGGTTCGGTTCATCCGGGGTCGGACATGGTAGAAAAGTTAGCCCGGAACTCCGAAGCCGTTAACCTCCACGTAGGGAGGATGGAGAGATGAAACGATGCTGAGGATCCGAGAAAAAGGCGGTAGAGCCAACACATTGACTGAAAATACTTCATGCTCGAAAGATCATGCGTGAGTTTACTTTTGTGAAGGGGTTTGACATTTTAACTTCCGAGAAAGTTTCATCTGCGGTGCCATGCTCTATGAGGAAGCAGAGTCAGCCATTTTTAAGGACGAAAACACCAACGAGAAAAATCTCAAAGGAATGCAGACAGATATCCGGCGTCCAATGTTATATATAGACTTTCACTTGGATGGAGCTCTGTCTTCGCGGCTCGGTTGCATGCAGTCCTTGCAGTTCGCTCATTGGCTCATGCAGGCTAAATAAGGCCGGGTTTGCACAGCAGGTAGCTCTAGAGTCAAATCTATTTGCAAGCTCCTTGATGGTCAACGGCTGAGCATGAGGAATCTATCTCATGGGGCAGGGCAAGATCTCAGGAAGTTGAGGCATCTCCCTTTTCTTTTCATTCTTTTAACAGTCTGGATGGCGCTGTTATTCCGGTCTTGTGGTGCAGAACTCCTTTACAGCGGGCGGGTCGGGTTTGCCCCAGCTTGAGTTCGTGTGATAGATATTGTCGTCGAGGGCGTGACGGCGGCAGTGCAATATAACTAACTTGTCCCTACAATGTTGGCATCCTGCCACTCCCAAGCAGTAAGTGCTTTGGGATGGTGATAAGCTCTGAGAGGGCTGTTTAGATAACACTTACATCTCCATTCGGTGTTGAGGTTAATGTCTTGAAGAATACCACAGAGAATTCCAGCACTTCCCTGAGAAATTGGACGATATAAATGTTGTTAGCATGGGCTGGCTTTTTGAAGCGATTTCAGGGAAGATTCGCGAGCCTGAAGGAGGTACATGGTGAGCTGCATATAAGGATTTGCATCTAGGACAGCTGGCTGAGCTGTAGGTACCTTGTACCTGTCATTATTGTTGTTATTGCCATTATCTCTTTTCACTGTTATTCCATCATGGAAATGCTGTGATGAAATGAGTGGTGTTGAGACTGAAATTTTCTGTCTCCTCTCCCAGCTGGAGAGATCAGCGGTTTTTTTTTTTTTTTTTTTTTTTTTTTTTTTTTTTTTTTTTTTTTTTTTACCCTTCCCTGCAAACCTCATCCGCTTATTTTCCTCCTCAGACCACTTTCGGAGACAAGGACTCTCTCTTATCTCTTGTTTGTTATTTCTATTTCATTTCTCCAGACTGGAATGTAGCTTCATATTAGTATCTATATCAGAGACATTCTCTTGCCTTGCTGTTTGACGTTTATCTTCTCTGCCATTTGTTTGCAGCTAGCTCATCCATACCTGCGCCTTTCAGAATGGCTATCTCTGACGAGACAGCTAGCTCTAGACGGAAATCTTCCCTGGAAGAATTGGTAGCATATCTACGGAGAGCTATCGGAAGACTCACAGAAAACAATCTTTTGATGTCAGTCCCGCCTCACTCGACTTGTGGGAATTGATGGTATCAACTGCGAACCAATATTGATGGTCACTGCTGACAGTAGATTTGTCCACAGAATTCCCCTAGATATAGTCAAAGTCTTCCTAGGATCACTTGATAGTCTCGAGGGAGCTGGTTTTTCAGATTTAGTTGCGCTATTTGATGGGGAAAACAAGGGGAATTGCTCGAGGCTTGACCTCGTTTCGTTCCACTGCATGCTTCATATTCTCCTGCGAGCCCCTCCATGCCTTGCTCGAGAGAGGGGCTTTTACCTCTTCCTGGTTTGCATTCTTCGTGTGCTCGATAATGTACATCGATGTATGTCTAATATGCTATCTAGAAATCTATGAGGGACCTCACGGACGGCATCCAAAAGTCTCCGCACTATACAGTAGTGGTTGCCTCTCGTCAGCGCAAATCGCTCATTGGACAAAAGACTTTCCATCATCTGTTGGACACGTTTGTGGGAGGGAACAACCACAGACTACGAAAATGGGTAAGTTGGCCTTTTCCAAACCATCGTCATATGTAAATAAAGCTAACTAGCACATGTAGAGTGGTCAGCTCATACTGGAACTGATCAGTAGGTCTAACGACAGCAGAGGATTATTAGGTTTGGGAACCGAAAATAATATGTTAGATTTTTGTTTTGCATCAAACACTGATAAAAAAGAATGACAACATCTAACCTGTGTTTAGCCGGAAACTCGGGGAAATGGTTCTGGACGAAATGGACTACATCCTACGACTGCTGGCCGCAGTACTTATCCAGGAGATGGTTGCTTCTCAGCTCGACCCTCGTATCTTCTGGCCTCAAGACACACCACAAGCCACCATTGATCTTTTCTCCATCCGGTCCACAGTCGATAGGACTTGGATTCAGAAATTTAATAATTTTGTCGCTCACCGCGAATTGAAGCAAAACAAAAAGGCAGCAAGGTTTGCTAAATAAGCTTTCTATCTTTAACTTACAGGTTGTCTAACAACGACTAACAGAATGCAAATCGCCCGAGATATCAATGTTGGAGAATCAAAAGTTGGCCCTAGCAACTGTTTAATAGGGGTATTGGTTTCCAATATCCTCACCATTATGATTTCCGAGGATAACCGCTTTCAGTTTATGGATATCCGCTTAGGTCTAATTGACAAGCTCGTATTGTACGAAAAGAATGCGATTCTTGACGTGTATCTACATCCAAATTGTTGTTATATGACAAATGGATTGTTGGAAAAGGCAGACATCGTCTCAGTGAAATATGAGAGCCAACCCGAAGCGACTGAGATCCGCGATATACTTGAGCAAAAACGTCTTTCCGTCAAAAAGGTAACAGGAGGAGCTAAAGGTACCAAAGATTTCCCTGTGACCGGGGCGTCAGCAAAGAAAGCTCGACAAGCATCTGCAGACGCACATTTACTCCGAAGGATGGACAATTCATGGGGTCCATCCACGTTGGGTTGCAGTGCTGCTACGCACACAGCTCGAAACTTGGAAAGAAAACGATCTCACGGAACTATGATATTTACTTCGGAGGGGGAAGCTATTAGGTGTTCCAGCGCCCATCTTGATTTGAGCTTGTCCGACAATCATAACGAAAACTCAAACGAAGGCAGCCAAGGTGAGTCAGATAGAGGAGCTGCAGAGCAGGTAGACAAGGATGCTCCATCAGTGCTTAAAAACCACAGCACCATAGAAGGAGAACTTTGGGGGTCGTCAAACCCTTCAAGGGTGGGTGAGACCCCAGCACCGGAACACCCTGCTGCGAGTACCCTCAACAACCAGGAGAAACAAACCCAAAGTCCCCAAATAGCTCTTAATGCTGCAATTCCTGTCAAAGCACAAGCTACGTCCTGCAATGGGGAGCCTTCATCAATTATTAGCTGTGTGGTTCAGCCGCATGGGATTAGTCAGAGTGAGGGTGACTGCCTCATTGGGCTGCCAAGCCTAGCACGACAAGCTCTTCAGCTTCAACTTCAACCTCAAAACTCCAACTCATCTCCGGATATGCTCGGACAGGACAGACAGGCTCGGGAAAGTAGTCCGGATTTGGGTGGTTTGGCTTTGGAACAGACGTCTTTTGTTGCCGCCAAGCCCATTGCTGACCCAGAACAACTCCCTGAAGTTGAGAACGAATATTCGGGCTTTCGGGATACCAATCACGGCCCAACCAATTCCACAAGGATGGGCCAACCAGTCCATGTCTCCACCAAAGAAACAGCGAAGATAGCGAAAAGCCAAAATGTAACGGAGATGCCCAATCAAATTGGAAACAACTCTAAACTTAAGCGACCCCATAACCGAATCAGTGAATCTACAGGTTATAAACTAGTCGTAGATTGGGATCAGGACCTTCGTGTCGACGATATACCCAAAGATAGACCAGAAACCTGCTCCAAGAAGCCGAGAAAAACTCCCCCCCAAACCAAGGGACCCGGCAGAGCTGACAAGTCCAAGAGCGTCTCAAGCTCAGCAGGAAAGAAGAGCCAGCAAGGGGCTCTCCAATTGACTCCTTGCATTGAGTCAACCCCGCGGAACAAACCTTCTTCAGAGAAGAAATGTAAGGCGAAGCGATCAGGTCGTCAAGTTACGAAAACTTTGACATCCGCCCGACAACCACGAGCTGCCGCAGAGAGAGCGAACCAAAAATTGGCCTTAGCAAACGAGTATGAAAATGCGACATACGACTTTGATGATCCTATTGAATCAAGCCTTCCTGAAGAGGCTGTCTTAGTTGGCAGCCGGACAAATAAGCCAGCTGACACTGATATAACACAGCCTGTTCTGACTTATGAACAGAACCTGGCTCCAGATGATGTTCAGGGAGAGCCGTTGCGCTCCATTGAGGGACTCGTCAACACCAAAGGTGGGACTCCAACCTCAGAAGAAGTTTCCGATCTCGTTCTCTCTGAAAATGTTGGATCTAAGCAGACCACTGGCAACGTTAAAAACGTGCCACGTTTCCTCCTGACTCGACAGGATGATACCGACAACCATCTATATTTCCAGAGAAGCTATCCGCAGACCAGGGAACAGAGCCACCCAATTCATGCAGAGGGTGTTGAAATCCAACCCAAAACCAATATCCACAGGCAGAAGGTTGCTTTCGAGCGCAAGGAAACCAGTTTGGGGAAGAGACTCTCTGAGGCATTGGTTAAAGCCGGCATTCTTTCTTCAAACACTTTGAAAACTGGAAATGGCGTTGGCAATGAAAGCAATAGAAATCCATTGTTGGACCAAGGCGAAATTAATGACATGGAAGCCCATCCGCGAACGGGAATATCTCAAATCTCCAAAAGTGTTTCTCAGTTTATTTCGCGCCAGGTTATTGCTGGCCAACGCACGTCAGTAGTTGAACAAGACAAAGAAGGCTGCTCAGGGATACCACTGACGGACAACGAAGAATCAAGTTCCAAGTCTGTCAAGCCAAACGTCGATGCTGAGCAGGGCCCGTCGGAAGAATCTGGGAATGATCACGAGGCTCAGACAATACAGCCAACTAGAAAGGGCCAATCCAAAACTTCAACCGAACTTCATAAAATTCTAAAACCCGCTACAACTAAATTCGACAAGATTGGAGTCAACAGTGGTGTCCCTTCACCAAACGAAGTGGTGGTGAGAAAAGTACAAATTGTCTGTTTTAATCCAAACGGACCAAAAAATCATTGCGCTATACCGGGCTCTCAGGCCGGCCAAAATTCGGAGCAAAATGACGCTAATAGGAACGAAACCCACAAAATTGGAGACCCTAATCCTGTTAAGAATGGTTTAGACACTCGGCCCGACGCCGAAATTAGTGACATTGATGATCTGGACGAGGTTTCCCTAATTCCAACTTCTGACTGTCTTGGACTGGCAATCGATGGGCACACCAGCGGCTTAATCTCACAAACCTATTCTAGCTCAATCTATGAGTTGACCGCAACTGAGTTCCTATCGCAAGGCCGGGTAGTTCAGATGATCCCAACTCACAATCAGTTGGTCGATGAGAATGGCAGTCCCCAACCTCTTCATAGAGATCTCTGGAGAAATAGAGCAACAACTCTTGTTACATCTAAAATTGAACTCCCTAGCGACACTCCAGAAACATCGCAGTCGTCGGAACTTTCAGTTGCTTCCTCCAGAGAAGACAGCGGGGTTGATCATATCGGATCGATATCCTCTGATTCCGACAGTAACGACGGATATCTTGGAGTTCGGGATCTCAACGAGAACAGGGTGAGCTACCACAACACCCATTCAGAAACTCCTCCCCAGCGCAAGGACACGTCCTCTAAAAAAACTGGTCGCGATTTCAGAAGTTTGGAGGTGCGGGATAGCCCAGACCCCGACAGTAAGGCGTTTTGGAGACGCAGCGCCCCGAGTACGTTTGCTGAGCGTCTGAGAGGAAAACAGGAACAAACAAGACGGAATAAGAAGTCGAGCAGAAACAGCAAGGTACAGAAGAGCCCGCCAAGATTGAATAAGGCTTACCGAAAATCAAATATCATGTCGCTCGTAGAATCGAGTAGTGACATCAGTGATGATGGTGAGAACTCCGAAGCGGACAAATCTATAGTGAAGAGCGGGGTCTGGTGTAGAGCTGAGGTTTCGGCTGGGTCAAGCTCAAGTCTGTCAGATACCCTAGTGGAAGAATATCGAGCTGTGGAATCTGAGTGGCAAAATGCCCTGCGAGCTACTCTAAAGACAGGTCTTGACATTCTACTAGATGCCAGTAGCGTAAGTACATCCTTACGTTCCCTTATGATCCTGCTAACCAAAATTTCTCCAAAAGCGACTTGTTCGACACTTATTGGACGAGGAAGAAGCCATCGATAGGGTTGTAGACACATATAAAAAGGGCGGGGCAAGGTTGATAGATCAACTGGAACAGAGATATGTCCAGGAGCTCCAGGACAGCGAAGTTATACTCCAACCTATAAAGCAAGAATTAATATGGAGTTTGGAAGGGATGCTTGCCGGTCTCGACAACAATAGGCGGAGTCTTTCGAAACAACCAGCATTGAAAGACCTCTCCGCAGCAGTACATAAACGGAAGAAGTTCACGGGACAACTTGACGCCGTGATAAAAGAATATGAGATGCGCATATAGGTTTCATCTCGACTGAAATATTATTAAACTGCTATAAACGATTGGTTTCGTGGCTGGCTGTGCAGGCCCGAGACCAGCGAATCGACAAACAATGTGAGTTCTGAGCACTGAGCGGGGGAACATTTGACCGTCTATTGAAGATGCCTGTTAGCATGTCGGCGAGTTAATTCTATTAATTATTAGTTATTGGCTGTAATCAGCTAACTATAGTGAGCATGCAGCACAAGGGTAAGGAAAGAGTGAGAACTGTTATTATTAAGGCGGGATAATGGAAATGCGGTCGAAGGGCTCAGTAACGTGAAAGTGGTACTGTCGAAGCTTGCGGTTCGCGGTTGAAAACTACCGCGTCTGTTAGTTAGAGAAACATAACCAGTTAACTAGTTAGTTAGTTAGTTAGTTACTGGTTTAACTGGTTGACTTCTTTTAATACTGAAGATAAGCAATTGAACGTTCCCTAATTTTTTTCCCCGCAACTGCAAAAAAGTTTAACTTCCCTTTGCGCTGACTCAACGCCGGTTGCGGAGAGTTTAACTCCGCCAGTTCCAAACACACTGAAAAAAAAAAAAAAAAAAAAAAAAAAAAAAAAAAAAGGAAAAAGGAAAAAGGAAAAAAAATAAAAAAAGAATAAAAAGGAATAAAAAATAAAAAAAAAAGTATAAAAAATAAAGAATTAAAACCCCGCGAACTCAATCTCCTAGAAATTCTCGTTTAGACAAATCCATCCCCATCTCTTTGCGTATAAGTACGTTATTAATAATTAAACCGCCCGTGTCAATTGGCCTCGCTGCGCCAGTTTATTGTCAATCACCACCTTGATACCCTTCAACAGCCCCGCCATGGGATCGCAGGTGAGCTTTAGTTGTATCTATTCGCCGTCTAAGTGACTCATGTTCAACTAACCCCACCACAGTGGTATATCGAGAACACAAATGTCGGGAACAAAGAGGTTGCGGAGGACTGGCGAAGTATGTTCATTTCCATATTGCGAACCGTCTCCCTGCTCGATTCCGCTGTTCAACTGTTGCTGACCTCACACAGTTCGGGGTTACAATCCTCTCACCCCGCCAAATCTCCTGCAGCATGAAATCCCACAGACGCCAGCATCCAAGCAGGCAGTCATAAGGTCGCGCCAGGAAGCGGCTAACGTTGTCAATGGCATAGACCCCCTCAATCGGCTCATGGTCATCATCGGGCCATGCTCCATCCATGACCCGGAGGCCGCGATGGACTACTGCAATCGCCTGCTGAAAATGAAGGAGAAATATAAGGATGAACTTCTCATCGTCATGCGCTCGTACCTCGAAAAACCCCGCACAACTGTCGGCTGGAAAGGTCTTATCAATGACCCAGACATTGATAACTCCTTCCAAATCAACAAGGGCCTGCGCGTCTCGCGGCAGCTGTTCGTTGATCTGACTGACAAGGGCATGCCAATCGCCAGCGAAATGCTCGATACCATTTCTCCCCAGTTCCTCGCCGATTTGCTCTCTGTTGGCGCCATTGGGGCGCGCACCACTGAGTCTCAGCTGCACCGTGAGCTGGCTAGCGGGCTGTCCTTCCCTGTTGGCTTCAAAAACGGCACAGAGGGCTCTCTGGACGTTGCTGTTGATGCCATTGGAGCTGTCAGACACCCCCACCACTTCCTCTCAGTGACCAAGCCTGGCGTCGTGGCGATTGTGGGAACAGTGGGCAACGAGGATTGCTTTGTTATCTTGCGAGGTGGGAAGAAAGGGACTAATTACGACGCAGCGAGCATTGCGGAGGCCAAGGCGAAGTTGACAGAGAAGGGGCTGAATGCGCGCTTGATGGTGGATTGCAGCCATGGAAATTCACTGAAGGATCATCGCAACCAGCCCAAGGTGGCAGCCGTGCTGGCAGACCAAATCGCGAGTGGGGAGCAAGCGATTATGGGTGTGATGATTGAGAGTAACATCAACGAAGGTACGTTTCACACGTGCCACCTTATTTACTTTATTTCTCGCGTAGACATTTTCATTTTCTGGCACTCTCTAACATGTCACTTTTCTTTTTTTTAAACCTTTACAGGAAACCAAAAGGTCAGTTCCCAAGGCAAGGCTGGCCTGAAATACGGCGTCAGCATCACGGATGCCTGCATCGGCTGGGAGGATACGGAGAGCGTCTTAGAAATGCTCGCGAATGCAGTCAAACAACGAAGGGAGCGTGGCCAGGCAGCATGATAACAACGAAGCTCAACAGTGCAATTTTCCTTCTTATTCTCTGATATTCCCCTTATTCCCTTAACGGCGCTTCTATTTCATTTATTTATTTTTTTTTTTTTTTCTGTTTTAACCTTGGGGCAGAGGTGTGTTGTGTTTTAAATGTAATAGTGTTGGTCAACGCAGAGGCGTGTTAGTCGTGTTCGTCCTGATTAAGACGGCAAAATAAACCAGGAATAAAAATGGAATTTGGCCGTCAGCTGAGAAGAAGGCAAATCTTGCCAGTTTCAATTTACAATCATCTCCCACGTGAAAATGTGGGGTTGATTTCGGAAATGTCGACGGTCTTTTGAGTCTTTTGGGTATAAAAAACCCCAATCCTCGAGCAATGGAGCAATGGCACCCAAGGCACCAAACATGCAGGATATTGGCGTGTCTGGTGTCTGGTGTCTTCAGCAGAAATACAATCAAACAAAACGACTCTCTCGGAATAAAAACCAGACCACTTTACGAAGCTGCCTTCTTCGTCCAGTGACAAAGCAAATGAACCAATGAAAATGCGGAAAGCTGATCCGAGTGGCGGAAATTCATATTTTATTTGTTGGACTAGTGCATATATGCGTAGAGCAACAGCGTGGTATCAGTGGCATGCATCATCATGGGCGTGAGACGGGTTTTGCAAGTCAAGCAAAAGTGCGAAGAGTGTGGGAAAACAGCAAACTGAGTATCAGAAAAAGAGGACTTGCCAATCTCTAACGATTTCCGTGACCCTGAAATATCAATAGGATTAAAAAAGAGAAAAGCCACGTGTGCATAGGTATGTACATATATGGATCGAGGGGTGTGTGCATACGGGAAAAATTGTCATGGAGTGAATGTTGGATTAAGAAAAAGTCAAAAGTGAAAATTGGACGACTTCAAATAGAGGGCAGTAATAATATGTCTACAGGCTGTCCTTTTGTATTTCCCAGCAGCCATTCCCGTTATTGATCCGGATTCCGTGGCAATACACAATAGAATAAGACCAAATAAACAGATTTAAACGGGGACGTATCCCCTGTCCCTCTGATTCCTATTTCCATTCGAGCGGACACTACTACTATTATTCCGAGGTGGGGTATCACCAGCTCGGTCAACATGATCGCTATTGGGTGGTGGGGTGGCTCCACGGCCCGGAATCCATACCTCGTCAAGCGGAACGACTAAATTCGGATTAACATACTTCTGCAACTTCGACGCAAGGTCCCCGCCACGGAAGCGGAGTGGGACAGCATCGCGATCCCAAAGTGACGATGGGGACATGGTCGAAGTGGGCGTGGGCGTCTCGTCCTGGTCAGTAGCAGCACGGGAGCGATCGATTGAGCGCAGAGCGATGAATTTCATAAGCGGATCGTAGGTGCGGGAGAAGAAGTAAGAAAACCAGACGGTCGTCGCTAATAAAGGAACAACGAGGATTGAGCGAGTGACGGCCGTACGGAGAGCGAGGGTACCGATGATGGCAAGCTGGAAGACAATGAACCCTAGGATTACACGGGAGCAGATCATTGGCCACGCACGGCCTGTGCTGTGCTGCTGGTGGTCCATGGCATAGAGGAGTTGGTATTTGTAGATGAAATGGCCGATAGCGAAGTAGATCAGACCAAAGAGACAAACGATATAGGAACTGGGAAATATGCTGTAGACGACAGTGATGATGAAGATCATGATAGTTTGTGGTAGGGCAAGACCGTAACTGAAGACGGGGGGTTGTCCGAGGTCGGCGAAATCACGGGGAGTGTTTGCGCTAAAACGCTGGAATGGGTAGAGGAATACGCTCCCGAATTCGAGCAGACGGAAAGGAAAGAGGCCAAGTCCTTGAAGGACGATTAGGTTAGTATAGAAAGGGGCTAGAGTTTCGAGGGACCGGGCGAGGGCGAATGCAATGGTTGTTGTGTCTCTGAGGACGTCACGGAGGTTTTCAAACAGGCCATAGAAGTTGGAGGCTGTTGCGAAAACAGTGAAGACTAGGAAGAGGTTGAAAAACGTGAAGAAAAAATTTTTGGAGATGAGAGACAGCTCAGCGTCTCCTTGAGATGTCATGCCTTGAAGGTTGGCCAGCCCTAGATAGTCAAGATGAGAATGGTTTTTTTTTTTTTTTTTTTTTTTTTTTTTTTTTTTTTTTTTGCCCATAAAGGGGTGGGTAAAGAATATCTTACAGTCATAAATAAACGGAACAGCAACCGTCATGAGAGAAAGGATAAGAGTAGGCAAACCAGTTTGAACTAGCGATTTGGCAAGGGGATGTCGTGATAAAGCATCCGCAAGGCTAGGAATTACCTTCTCGATGGTTTCCAGGTTGAGCAAGTAGGCGAGTGGGATGAGCAGGACAGACCAGAAAACAGTGAGTATCCCGATTAGCAATGTGATCGACCAACCACGCAGCATTCGGCTCTTCCGCGAGAGGTAAGTGTATTGCCAAACCACATCTGCGGGAGCTGGTGCTAAGCTTGCCACTAGCTGCATTGGCCAAGGGTCAAGAATTGCCTGAACGGCCATCTGACAAGCAGCGATGGACTCCATAGTTACGAAGGCGAGTGGAGTTGGCGAGAACTCCCTTCCGCGGATCTCTTCGATTTTCTCATCCAATTGGCGTAACTTCTCCTCGTAGAAATCGATCGCATCGATTTTCTTGTATCGCAGCCTGAGCAGGCCATACCGGATGCAAATAGTCGGTCGCTTACGCTCACAGCTCGACACATGAGCTCGTGCAGAGTCTTCAGTCGACAGAAGGTGAGACCGCTCGTTGTCCTCACTCAGGTCAAGGCTTCTTTCCATCGGATCTGTTCGGACGAGGGGCAAGGCGTTGCCTCTGCTGTCGGACCGTTTCCAGCGGTAGCCGACATGCTCCGTCCATGCCTCTTCGAGGTGCTGCAGAATGCCCTTTCTTGCTTCTATGAGGCTGTCAAGCTCGCTCCAGTCCCGGCAGAGCATGACCTGCTCCACGTTTCCAATCCCCAACTCTTCAATAAACTCTTTGATTTTATCCTCTGAGCGCAACTCCGGAGGAATTCCCGATAATCGGATTGTCCTGTCTGTTATGGTAGTTTGCCCACCCAGATACCGTTGGCGGATCTGGATGATTTTGTTTGTCTGCTCGACGAGGAAGTACATACCCACGCCAGTGAATACGTACACAAATACAACATGCATCCACAGGTATGTCGGGTCGGCTTTCGCTTTCTGGGAGCCGTCATTGAGGTCATCGGGCTTGTCCCACGGATAACCATATTTGTTCGTATATATATAGTGAATAGGAAGGATAACCGTGAGGGTGAAAATGAACACCACTGACAGGAACCTGAGGGCGTACTTGTAAAATGACAGAAACTGCAAAGAAAACAGTGTATCAGTCAGTCCCGTTGCATTCTAAATTTTTAACTCCTTTTGGAGCGGAAACATTGCACCTACCACATACGCATCCAGTCCCGCAGATGCCAACACTTCATCCTCAGAAATTCTATGCACGATTGGAATCCAGCCAAACAATGTATTGGGCAACTCAGGCAGTCTAGCAGCAGCCGTCCTCAATCTCCTCCGGGCGGCATATAACTCCCTCCATTTTGGTCGAAGAACCTGCAAAACCATATATTAACATCTCCACGCAAAACTAACTAAATAAATAAATAAAAACATACACAAAACCCCATAAACGCCGCAAGTCCGAAGACAGAGCTGATCGCAATCTGAGTCAACAGATCGCGCTGGCCCTTCGTCTGGTCCTGGTATTTGTGGTCATCGTCTCCTCCTCCACCGCCAGTATCATTCCAACCTGTTGGTGGCGATATAATCGAAGAGGTGGTGGCGGTTGCAGTTGCGGATAACAATGAAAATAGCATAATAGTCGGAGAAAAGGGAGAAAGTTGTGTGGTTACGAACGGAGAACTCATGCGTTCTTGCGGCCTGTCCGTGGCCGTACCGGTTGTGTCGCGAGTCCACGGCTATGTCTTTGTATATATTGTCTTATCTTCTTACTTCTGTTCTCTTCCTCTTTTTCGCGTGGGGATATGCGACTGTGTTTCGGAAGCAGAGTTGACGTCTATCAAAGGTATGAGGTTGAATATATATTTACATCTAGAAGCTAGAGCAAGAAAGAGAAACAAGGTCAAGGTCAGCCGTTCATATCATCAAAAGGTAGCTGTAGTTTTGAAGAATTATCCTCGACTCCCATCCTGCTGCCCATGTGCTGAAACAGTGGTCGTCGCTGTGAAGGTGATTGGATTCAAAGGATGAAAAGAACAACATCAACCGATGAAATTTTGACGTTGAAAAGTTCAAATGATGACTGTGAAATTACTAACTGATAAATAAATAACTTAACTGGTTAACTACTTGCCATATTGGGCTGCTCGGCTGGACTTTCCCTAATAATAGTCATTGATATGGGCAGATCAACAATGACGTCGCTTGAAGAACAAACAAAAAAAAGGGAGATCAACAGAGCAACCCCCGGGAAGCATGCGAAGATTGAGCGCTACAAGAGCGATTACCATCAATCTACGGAGTAGTGATGCACTAGTTATGTCATAGGTATCCGCCGTATTATTCGCAACTCTAAGCCAAGCCGAAAAAACGCCCACGTCTCTTCCCCCCAGGAATATTGTATGTAGTTAATGTACCATCAAATATGGAAAATCCTATGCAATGCAAATCCAGTGGAAATCAAATCCAAGCCCTCATCCCTCATCCCTCATCCCCCGGCCTGTCCTCCTTTTGGTGCTGCGCCGCATCGTAATAAACCTCCAGCAAACATGCCGCCGACCACGCCTGGGTCGGGGCCTAGAAGAAGAATGCGGGTAGTCAGTAATCATTAGTTCCTTCCACTGAAGAACACAAGAGTGCCATCCCGCTCCCAGAACACCCTTCTGAATGCCAGAATTTTGAAACGAAAGAAAGGAGGAATTGAACTCACCGAATCCGCACAGAACTCTCCACTCTTGTTCGTCAACTCTGTCAGCCCTTTCCACGGACCCTCCGCAATCATCTTCTTACACCCCTCCAACCTGCTTGCCACAAGCTGAAACGCCTCTTCCCTCCCATTCACATCCCTCTCTGCACCCTCATGCTTGTTCTCTTTCCCCAAGCTCCTCCTTCTAATAATCTCAAACCTCAACAATGCCCTCAGAAAGAAACCTAGGGGCCACACCCACTCGGGACCTTGGTGATAATTCCTCCCTTTTGACGTAGCAAAATCCTCAGAGTCCTCCGCATTATTATAGTACGGTCGATAGTTTAAATCACCTGGATCCAGCGTGGCCATCCCCACTGGGCCCCGGAGGACTCTATCCGCAACAACAAGCGCATGGATAGCATTCTCCAATTTGAAAAGGTCTGGTGCAACGGTCATGGCGATGGCGAAGTTGGGGCGGAGTTGGTAATCCTTGTATGGGCTGGAAGATTTGTAAAGGTCCTTGTATATTCCCCGGCGATGGACGATTGTTGGGTCGATGTCATGTTGTGCGTCATGGGAGGAGAGGACAGGGATGTAATAGGCGCGATCGAAGTTTGATTGAATACGTTGCGCCCACTCGGAGAACTTGATGGTTTCGTTTGAGTTAGTTGTGACGCCTGCGTACATATAACGTCCTTCTTCGTGTAGTTTTGATACCCAGCGGAGTGCACTATATAGCAGCCCTGTAATCTCAATTGCCGCTCCATCCCTCGGTGTGCCCGGGTATCCTTTGTTCGCTGCCTTCTCACTCTCGCCCATCTTATCCATCCACGTACCGCAGTTCCACATGTTACCTCCAAACATAAACCCAGTCTCCCAATCGACATGGATATCAACTTGGAACCCCTCTGGTTTCATCTGCATGTCCAACTGCGGCCCAGCATTATATTCCCTAAAGGACAAACCAGATGCATGTCGCTGGAGCACTTCCTGGATAATCTCCTCTATCGTTGAGGAACGGCTATACGCCCTTTCATCGTCGAAAGGGAACCACGTATCATCATACGGAAGAAAGCGGCGGGGCACCTTCTCCTCCAGCAGCTGGATCCCATCGGGGACCATAGTAACGTAGTTTTGTATTGCCTGGAGGAAGAACCAGACAGAGTCGCGCGAGTTGTAACGGGGCAGTTTACCGCTGCCAAGCAGGTTGGGGATCATGCCGTGCTTAATCACGCTAGCAAAGGAGATAATATGGTCTTTAGCGACATCAAAGCGGCCGGTGCATAGGAGAAGTCCGCGGAGAGAGATGAAGACATCCCGACCCAGCAGCGGGCCCAGTCGGTGGAGAAATGTGGTAGACCTGCTGCTAGAGAGGGGACTAATTTGTTCGGATAGAGTGAACCAGATTTAACGTATCCAACCATTTGTATGGAGACAATGGCCAGTGCGTGGACGAAATGCGTACCATGCCTGATACCATTAAACAATTGAATGCCACGTCTCCACGCAGCGTAGTAGGCTGTTT